GCCTCCATTAGTAAGAGTTCATATAATTTGCTCTAACCTCAGGAATTCAAACTACACACACATACACACACACACACACACACTGAATTAAAAAACAAAATCTAAATAATTTTTCATGAAAATAATGAGACATTTTTTTTTTTAATAAATCAAGCAAAATTGCAGGTCATTTATTATTAGTATTTGATAATAAACTAGAAGACAAAAAAACTTTTTTCTTGTTTTTCTTGCAGCTAATGATGCAGGAGAGTCTCCTCTGGATCTGGCACAGCGTCTCAGACACACAAAATGCGAGGAGCTGGTGGGTACAGTACATTTGTTATGTTTAATGCCAGCATAAATCCTGAAGTGCTGATTTTTGCTCTTCTTTGCTTTTCTTGAGAGCAAGTTCTTTGCCTTTCCTGAGATTGTGTTCACGCAAATTCCCCTCCAATATGTTCTTCTGTGCTGTGTGATCGACAGCTGACTCAGGCGCAAACAGGGAAGTTCAACGTCCATGTGCATGTGGAGTATGACTGGCGTCTGCATAACGATGACCTGGACGAGAGTGAGGATGAGATGGAAGACAAGGTTAACATACTTTTTATACAAAAGAAGCCATTTAATTCAGTTATACTCTCTTTAAGATTTTTTTTTACAATAAATTAATACATTTATTAAGCAAGGATGCATTAAATTGACCAGAAGTAACTGCGAAGACATTTATAATGTTACCGAAATGTTTTTCTTCGTTAGCTTAGTTAACACTGAGAGAACATACGTGTTATTGTAAACAATCATGCATATACTTTATGCAAACCTCATTCACTGTTCACAACATAGTGAATGTCACATAGGTTATTACATAAAGATCAAAATGTATTTGGACAAAGAGAATATTGAGCACTGAATATTGGTACCTTTTGGCTCATCCTTACGCCATTGATTTTGTGTTTCAGCCCATTCCCAACAGGCGTGAGGAGCGTCCAGTTAGCTGTATTATTCCAGGCATTGGCCCCATGATGCCCAACATGAGCGCTCTGGCACGGGATGTGGCTAATGTGGTCAATAACAAGCAGAGGGCTTTTATTCCAAGCATGATCTGCAACGAGACTTACGGCACCATGCTTGATGTTAGTCCACCGCCTTTGGGTTTACCAGGGGTGCCGGGTATTCCTCCTCTACCGCTTCGTACCTTGGGAAGGGGTGAGTAGCATTCAGGCATGGTGAGTTGAGAATCTTCTGGTAGTAAATTCTGAAAGCTTTCATTCTGAAATAGCTTGCTTACAAATGTACATTCAGTAAAGTCATAAACATACATATTAAACACATTTATGTGTGTTTGTGATGTCAGGGTGGAGTCCTCCAGCGGACATGGTCGGTAGGCAGAGATCATGCTCAGACCCTTCAAACCCTCAGAGTCCAGACAAAAACATGTCAGTGTATGGTGAGTCTGACCTCAGTACAGTCTTACACCCATTTCTATACAGATAATTATTTCTATGTTACATAGTCTACAAAACTCTTATATTCACCAAGGCTGCATTTATTTGATCACTAAAAGTTTATTATCAATGTAAAAAACAGTTGTGCTACTTATTATTTTTGTGGAAACCATGATCCATTTTTTTCAGGATTCTTTGATGAACAGAAAGTTCAAAATAACATTTATTTGAAATAGAAATAATTTGTAACATTACAAATATCTGTACTGTCGCTTTGGATCAATTCAATGCATTCTTGCTGAATAAAAGTGTTAGTTTCTTTAAAAAAAAATTGTAACTTTTGAACAGCAGTCAAGATGTTTTTTTGAACATTGTTGTTCCATAATGCTCTACTAGCTCTACCGGCTGGTCAACCAATTTAACCTACTATGGAACAGCTATAAACCAAGCACCATGTTCCAAAAATCAAGCTGGTTTTTCTTGTAGGCATATGAATAACAGGTCTTGTCTCTCCTATAGTGCTCCCCCCTGCTCCGCCACCTCCTCCTGCGGCCAAAAGACCACTACCTCCAGATCCAAAGGCAGCTCTTCCCCAAGTGCCTCTGGTTCCATCTGCACCCTCTGCTCCCCCAGTTATACCACCCGCTCCTGCTAGAACAGCGCCCATAGTGCCACCTGCTCCAGTGTTGCCCACATCATTTTCATATAAATCCCCACCTCCTCCTGTACCCCCACAGCCAAAAGCCCCTGCACCCAAACCAGTAAAATCCCCCACTAGGTAAGATGTCACCTCCCAGCTGCATTACAAGGAACAGATTATCAGATGCTGTGTTTTTTTATAGGGATTTCAGGTGTTGGTTTTGTAGCATTGTTAGCATTGGCTACATTATATCAGCTGCAATGTTCTGTGTATTTCTCAGGAATCCTGTTGGTCATTTTAGTAAAGATGCAAATGTAAATAAAGCTCCACCCACTGTCCCCCGACCAAGTGACAAAACAGGTGAATTTAATAATGCTTACATACATGATGAATACAGCTCTAAATCCAAAAAACTGATATATTTTAGGTTGAAATAAGCTTAAATGGTCATTTTTATTAAAACGTTTTTTTCTTCTTCTCCAGATTCTGGGCCATCTGCCTCCGCACCAGCTCCTGTCCCTGCTCCCAAACCCAGAACGGCCCCACCTGTAAGTGACAGCCATTAAAATAAATTTTTTCCCCCTCAAAAGTACACTACCATTCAAAAGTTTGGTGTAGGTATGATTAGGTATGATGGTTTTTGAAAGCCTGTGTTTACTCTATCAGAATAACAAGTAATGACTGAAATATTGTAAAAAAAAATTATTAGAATTTAAAATAACTGTTTTCTATTTAAATATATTTTAAAATATCATTTATTCCTGTAATGGCAAAGCTGAATTTATAGCAGCCATTACTCCAGTCTTCAGTGTTACATGATCCTTCAGAAAGCATTCTAATATACTGATCTGGTGCTCAAGAAACCTTTCTTATAATTATCAATGTTGAAATTGTTGCTTAGTATATTTGTAAACGCGTGACAGATTTTTTCAGGATTCTTTGATGAATAGAAAGTTAAAAATAACTGCTTTTATTTGAAATAGGAACATTACATGTAAATGTCTTTACTGTCACCTTGAGCAATTTAATACATATTTGCTAAATACAAATATTAATTTCTATTATTTCACTTTCACTTTTCAAAAATATTAATAAAAAAGAAATTTACTTCAAATTCTTGAACAAAATTTTATACGTAATTCTTCTTTTAAATGAAATGACATAATTTTTTTTTCATTTAGTAGATTTTTATTTTTTTCAAACAGATTAAAAATGTTTATATAGTTGCTCCAAAAATATTTTGAGATTTAAGCCACAATTAAATGTGAAATTTCATTGCATTACATTATATCAAACCAAGTGACATCTGCAAACATGGTGTTATTTTTCTTTAAAATAAATGTCACTCGATATTTTATTATACATATTACAGTTTTTTCAATTGCTTGCACACACAATCTTTACTTGTCACACAATTTCTGAAACCCCACACAAACACCAGAGCCACACACCAAATCTGCAAAACCATACACTAATACTCGGCTTTCAATTTCATAAAACACTTTTTTCAAAACACAACACTAACAGGAATCAATATTATGGCAAAGGTGTTCGCAAATGTTTGCTTTTGTGATATTTTGAATGTAGTGCTTTATTTTGCAAGAGATGTGAGGCATTTTGCATTTTGTGTGTGCAATTTTTGGATTTGTGTGTAAAGTTTTGAAAAAAAGAGGCAAAGTTTTTAAAATGTGTGTAAGCAGTTGAAAAAAACTGTAATTGTGATGTCAGTGGCAAATCTAAAACATTTGTACTTGTTTCAGAAACAGAGACCTAAGAGAGTAAAGACCCTATATAACTGTCAGGCTGATAACCCAGATGAACTGACCTTCTCTGAAGGAGAGGTGATAATAGTGGATGGAGAGGAGGACAAAGAGTGGTGGGTGAGTACGCAGTCATACTTTTTACACAGTACATGCGCAAATCAGCTGACTGAATCATGTGTGATCCTGATGACTCCTGCAGGTGGGCCACATTGACGGGGAGCCGAACAGGAAGGGCGTTTTTCCTGTCTCGTTTGTTCACTTCATCACTGACTGATGTCATACATTGCTGTCTTACTAAGATCACAGGCTTTTTGTGACAGAAACCTGAGACCACTGATTATTGAATTAATCGCCATCCTTATGGCTGGATGGTGGCGTACGGGACATTCACAAACATAAGACCTCAGGAAACCATTCCGATTCCAAGTGCAATTACCTCTAACTTTAATGCAGAAATGATGTATGAACTGTGATGAGTGCTATGCTTTATATGGGGACCATTTGTTTTTATAAACTGTAATATTGTTGGATCCTTACTCTCATCTTTATAAAGCTTTTTATCTATATCAGTTGCAGAGCAACTCTTATTTTGCAAGTGCAGTTAAGTGACATGTAGCTTGCATACAAGTATGTTCTCCGAGTTCTGTTACCAAACAAGCCATTAAAACTTTTAACTCTGTACATTTAAAAGACTGGTTTATTTTCAGCACTAGAGATATCTTTTTACAAAAATAACTGACAGAATATCAAAGTAGTGGCTCAACAGTTCACAGTATTGTTATACATTTCAATAGTTACACTACAGTTGAAAAGTTTGGGGTAAGATGTTTTTTTTTATATTTATGAAAGAAATCTCTTATGCTCGACTGCACACAGCAATACTGTCAAATATTATTACTATTTAAAATTACTATTTTAATATATTTTAAAATGTAATTTATTCCTGTGACTGCATTACTCCAGTCTTCAGTGTCACATGATCCTTCAGAAATCATTCTAATATGCTGATTTGGTGCTCAAGAAACATTTCTGATTATTATCAATATTCAATATTTTTTTCTCAGGATTTTTTGATGAATAGAAAGTTCAAAAGAACAGCATTTATTTGAAATATATTTTTTTGCACCATTGTAAATGTCTTTCTGTCACTTTTGATTAATTTAATGTGTCCTTGCTGAATAAAAGTATTAAATTCCTTCAAAAAAAAAAAAAAAAATCTCAGACCTCAAACTTTAGCATACATTTACAAAGCACTCCTCAATAAACAAGGACATCTTGCCATATTGAAACAGGGTCCAAGGTCTATCTTCGACCACCACCGATTTTATTAATTTACAGCATAGTCAGATGGTCCAAGAAAAAAAAAAATCACCCTTTTCAAAAGACAACCTTCAAGTTTCCTCATAATGGTTATAGAAAAAATACTTTAAACTGTTCAAAATACTCATCCGTATATTTACAAATCAAAAATCTCCACATGATGTCTTTAACTCGGCAGAGTGAATATATGCACAGTGGTCTCTCCAAAAAGGCCAACAAAGTCTGTTAAGATGGGCTAGTTTGTCTCAAAGAAGCAAAGGCTCTTCTTTTAGGTCCTTAAGCGCTCTGTACAGCTGCTACAGTATTTGAAACATCTGCAAAAACAAATGGGAAAAAACGTGTTCAGTCAATCATTCTGCAGCCCTATCCAATGCAATATCAACTGCTGCAAGTTCAGGAACTGAACAATTATCATGTTCATAGAGGTCCACAGGTGCAGGATCTCCATCCACTGGAGTGGAACCCTTTCTCCTCTGCAGTGGTGCTGGATCAGAGTAGTTGTTCCACTGGAATAAGGTTGGTACAGCCCCTTTCTTCAGCAAGCGGCGCCCTTTAGGAGTCGACGGCTCTTTCACATCTTCTCTCTTGAAATGACGACTGCAGACTCTCATATGGGAAGTGATGATTAAATCCTTGCGTTGAATGCTGCATATCCACTTTTTGCATCTTTCTTCGTCCGTGGGGAAAGAGTGAAAGCTCAGCACAGAGTTGAACTTTGAGGAAGCCGAACACAATGGAACACAACAATGCTCAGCTGCACTACTGTCTTCCCGCCGTTGAAATTTAAACTTTCTGGATGCCTTTACTACAATGAGATATTGGGTATATTTGTAAAAGTTCTATACTTCAAAAATGAATCATTGTTGAGTCGGAGATACGTCTTGTGCATAGAGTCCATTGCATACTGCTGGTCTCAAATGTAGGACTTTTCTAAATAACTATCCACAAGCACTGAGATTTGTTTGTTGACTGGACATTTTTGTTCTTTAACAGCTAATACCATTTAAATGTTTGGAGTCAGTAAGATTTTTTTTGTTTTTGAAAGTCTCTTTTGCTTACCAAGGCTGCATTTATTTGATTAGTAAAAACAGTATTATTGTGAAATTTAATTCTTAAAATTCTATTTTAAAATATTAAATATGTATTCCTGTGATAGCAAAGCTGTATTTTCAGCAGCCATTACTCCAAGTCATCAGTGTGACATGTTCCTTCAGAAATCATTCTAATATATTGGTTTGCTGTTCAAGAAACATTTCAGGATTCATTGATGAATAGAAAATTCAGGATTTGAAATAAAAATCTTGTGTAACATTATGAATATCTTTACTGTCACTTTTGAGCAATTTACTGCCTTCTTGCTGAATAAAAGACGTAAAAAAATAAAAAATATATAATAATATATAAAAATATATGAATAAAAAAACGTATTGACCCCAAACTTTTGAACGGTATTGTAAGTAGTCAAAATGCATCCAAGTGTGGAATACGGCTAACCTGATATTAATGGTTGTGTGTGTATCCGGCTCTCCTCTAGTGTTAGAAAGCAGGCTGGTTTGACAAGCTTCGATTCTGTGTTAGCTGGATCCACAGCTTCACTTGGGCCCTCAGTCTCACAGGTGAGTATGTGGATGGGCCCCCGGCAGCCTTTCAAGTGGATCTGGATAGATTCCTAGAACAGGACGTAAATATAAGTTCATATTACACATATTCCTTCCAGCTATCAGATGAGTGTCCTTTAATCATTATTCAAATAAGGGGTGGGCAAGATAACCAAAATAAACAGGAGTGTTAGAAAGCAGGCTGGTTTGACAAGCTTCGATTCTGTGTTAGCTGGATCCACAGCTTCACTTGGGCCCTCAGTCTCACAGGTGAGTATGTGGATGGGCCCCCGGCAGCCTTTCAAGTGGATCTGGATAGATTCCTAGAACAGGACGTAAATATAAGTTCATATTACACATATTCCTTCCAGCTATCAGATGAGTGTCCTTTAATCATTATTCAAATAAGGGGTGGGCAAGATAACCAAAATAAAATGCAAATGTCCTTTCCCTGTTGTCCTTTTACATCAAAATCCACCAACATATGTTTATAGAAAGGTTTTTCGCTTAGAAACTGTGCTTGATCTGTGCATACTTTTTCTCCCAATTCAGACAATTTTTTCCACTGGAGAAATCAATGTAATGGATAGGGGACTTGTATTAATGGTTTGAAGTTAAAAACATCTTAAAGATGGATTTGTTTATTACAAACACACAGCTTTTTACTTCACAGGATATGAATTGATGGACTGGAGTCATGTGGATTACTTGTGGTTTATTGAGATGTTTTTATCAGCTGTTGGTATTTCATTGCAGAGGATCCATTAGTGAGAATGTGATTTAATGCTAAATTTCTCCAGATCGGTTCTGATGAAGAAACAAGCTCATCTTACTTCTTGGATGGCCTGAGGGTGAGTCAATTTTTATTTTTGGAAGAACTACTCCTTTAATGGCAATCACAACAGAAGGTGATATAATATAGGCTTCTAATATAAGCTTCTGTCACTTTAAGACCTCACACATGGATCCAATATATATTGTCAAACCGCCCAGCCCTAATTAAAATTAGTGCTGTCAAATGATTAATCGCGATTAATTGTATCCAAAATAAAAAGTTTTTGTTTACATATATGTGTGTGTACTGTGTATATTTATTATGTATATATAAATACACACACATGCACGTATATATTTTGAAAATATTTACATGCATATATTTATATAATTTATATATAAATATATTTCATATATAAACATAACATATTCCTCTTAAATATATACCTGCATGTGTGTGTATTTATATATACATAATAAATATACGTACACACACACATATTATGTAAACAAAAACTTTTATTTTGGATGCGATTAATCGTTTGACAGCACTAATTTAAATATTACATTTTAAAATGACACCTAAGGCTCAAAGTCTTTCAGCATGTCTCTCACACTTACCTCAGTGGGAGTGGGCACCTCTAGCTTGGACTCTTCAGGGGCCCTGATGGCTATTATAGTCTGGTCCTTGAAAACACCAATCTGACAGATGTCCTCATATGTCACATAAGCTGAGGTACAACAGCAGTTAAGACCAAAAACAACTGAAAGAACTTCTATAACATTTGTTAGAAATACTATCACAGAAATATGAGAGGATATTCAGCATTGTCTTTGAGGTCGGTCAGAGCAAAGAGCTGTTGGGCGCAGTCTTTGATGAGCCAGTCAAGGGCCTCCTCCGTTGACTTCAGATGAAGTAGGTCAGCTTTCGTCTTGGCGTGCCACTGATTCCCCAAGCTGCTGTTTGGTGATGGATTCCTTGAACATGTATAGAAAAATCAGTGTAAAATCAAACCTCTAGACTCACTTCCAACTAATGTATTTCAATGGACAAATTTCACTTTTACAAACTACCAAATCTTGTTGTGGAACTGTGGAAGTAACGTTCTGTCTAAACTTACATCCACTGGATCTTGTTTTTGGACGTCTTTTTGATTAGCTGGATGCCTGCTAGCACATTAGTGATGTCATACACCCGCCTCTTTCGTGTGCCCAGTTTTCGAGTAACCTCATTGAGGTCAAGGACTCCATTCGGTGCCGAGTGAAGCAGCTGCATGAAGCGTTTGGTCAGTCGTCCAAGAGCAACGTCAGAGCGATTCGGAACTGGAATGAAAATTTAAAGCTTTTTTAACCTTTGGTCAAAGTACATTCAAATTCTGTGCAGCATCAGAAAGTGAATGAATTAAAAACTTTTGAGAACATCCCATACCTTGACTGGTGGATGCCCCTGTTGCTTGATTCATATTGTTAATGTTGGGATAGCTGATTAAACTAAAAGAAAGGACATTATATAATGAATGGGAAAAATAATCAATATTGTTTCATTCCTTTTGTAGCAGTTATTTAATGTAGTGTTACCTTCCAGTGAGACACTGTCCTTGTACTTGACTATTCATGTTATGTGAACCATCATCTGCAAGACTGTGGTCTTCATCATCATCTTCCTCAAAATCCTCAAACTCCACATCATAAAGTTCATCTTCTGCAGCAACCCCACCCTTTCAAGACAAAATTAAGGTTAATAACACTTGATACTGCATAGCGTTACCCAACGTATTTAATAGCAAAATCGCCCCAGCTATTTGAGCACATGTATTTTACTTCTTCTTGATAACTCTTAAACAAGATGCAAAATTTTTATTTTTCTAGATTTTATTTCATGAATTTTATTTCTGTTTCAGCTGTACAAATATAGAGTTAATATGGAGCACAGAAGGTAATAATGGCCAAATAAAAGCTTTAAACAATAAGGTAATATTGTTTAATATTAATTTTATCACATAATTTTGGATAAAACAGTAATGTTCATCCAAGAATAAATGTGACCCTGGACCACAAAACCAGTCATAAGTAGCATGGGTAGTCTATATTTGTAGCAATAGCCAAAAATGCATTATATGGGTCAAATTATCGATTTTTCTTTTATGGTTCAAATATTGTCCTATCCTAACAAACCATACATCAATGGAAAGCTCATTTATTCGGCTTTCAGATGTATAAATCATTATAACTGTTTTTGTGGTCCAGGGTCACAAATGCAAATTTATTATTATTTTTTTTACTTTTTCCCTTAATATAATAACACTTTTAAATGTACAACATAATGTGAATAGATTTGTTTTTATTCAGAATGATTTTCACACTGTTCCCAAATATGATCACGTTTACTTGTATTATGATGATGATTTATATGAGGCAGAGCATTATTATACGGCCAAAATACGGTTGTATCTGTATTATGTTTTATGGAGCTTTGATCAATGCATCATGTCAAAAATAGTGAATGACTTTCTGATGATTATATATATATATATATATATATATATAGTTGGTTGTCAGAATATGCATTGCACCCTTCTAACCTCTTCCACTGGATCCGAGTGCTCTTCCAGCTCATCACACGAGCTCCAGCCGGAGACCGGTCCCTCTAATGGGGGCATAACAGGGATGGCGTCCGCGCTGATGCCGTTCGGCGTAATGTGATGGCTCAGGAAATGATCCTCGCATATCTGATGTTGATCTGTGATTTCGCGCTCAGTCTCCCGTAAAGCGGCCAGCCACACTTTCACTCGGGCCTTGTCCTTGGGGAAACTGAAAAACCTCTTGGGCGGTCGGCTCGATTGCTCTCCCGGTCTGAGATCCCTGTGGTTTATGCATCCTTGGACCACACACTTCACCATTGTCGCTACACGCTGCCAGATTATTTCGCCACATTCAATCACATCAACGTGCATGTGCAATGTTTACACACATCACGAGAGGAAATGCGAAACACGACGTCACGTGATCCCGTCTGACCAATCAAATGATGTGATTTTCTGCTTCATGTTTTCTCTATTGCATAAGCGCACCTAGTGACATCTAGTGCAATGGAGAAGTACTACCATTTTATACTACACCATCCTTTTTAATGTCTGCATTGTCTTGTTTTTTTTGTTTTGTTTACGTAGATGTATTAATATTTGATATAGGCGTGTGTCAACATTTCATTTGCATACTGCATGTATGAGCATTCATCATTCTGCAGCATATATGTATGTGCAAATGTTGCTAATTTTATACTATATATGCATATATATATATATAGTATAAAATTTACATGTTTCCGTTTCACCAACTCATTTAACAATTTACATTCTAACCAAACAACAAAAACGTTGCAAAAATACGTACTGGTGGATACTGCACATGTTTACAACTATCCACACATGTACGAAGCAGAGTTCGTTTTAATAGCCTAAATAGCAATTTATTAATAAAAAACATTAAACATAATTTTGGTTTCATTGTAAATGTAAATGATTAAATTAACATAAATCTTATAAAAGTACATTAATAAACAAAACTTGAAAATAAAACACAATAACGGCTTTTATATTTGATATATTTCAGATCGCCAGGAAACGAGGGAGCAGATGATGGCGTAAAGAAAACAGCTTTATTATTATTATTATTATTTTATTATAAACAGATGTAACAATGACAATATATCACATGCCAGGGAGCAAGAGAATAATGTACCTTTTGAACAGATATACAGTTGTAAAGAGAACAGCTGAATCGTCCATTAAAACAAAACAACCTTTCAGAACCGTTCATTAAAACGAAAACAAATTGAGGAAGTTAATTTAAAGGAACTTTTCGAAAGTTTCGCGGAAATGAGTCGGACTTCCCATCAAAGTGAAGTCTGGCACCCTTACCGACGTCTGCCTTTCAGCCAATCAGATCGACCTGCGTTACTTTGCGTAATTAATATTCATGAGTCAAGCCTTCACTGTAGTAGGATTTGTAAATGCGTTTGGCGGACTGTGGGGTGTTGTACTGCCGTTTTTTTACCAGCAGTGGACAGCAGCAAGCAGCAACAGTCTCTCCAGAGGTGGATGTGGATGAGTGTGGGATTGAATCAGGGCGAACTGGGCTGCCACTGTCATAGAGAACAGCACAGAACTAATACAATAGCGAAACATGGCTACTGAGACGATATCAGCCTGCACCGGATCCAACTTGCTACAGCCAATAAGCGAGATAACCAACCTTCCGTTAGATCAGGTACATTTCTGTTATTTGTATTTTGTGAAATGAGTACTGGAGGCACAACAACCCTCATCACAGCTTTCATTGGCATCCAGGTCCTTCTACAAATCCTTTACAGGCTGTGCACGAAAACATTTGGTAAGGACGATGAAAAAAACGTTGCATTTTTAATGTTTCCTCCCGAAATTCATGACGTCTTCCTGAGCAATCGCATATTTCCGTCGGATGGAGTTGATGGTGTGATCGTGAAATGTGTCATTTGCGTGATGAAATGGATGGTGGACTGCTCGAGGATTTACAAATGTGGACATTAGCGAATTTAATTAATATACAACCTAGATTAATGTAGGCGTAGATCATATAATACAGGGGAGAAAAAACACTAGACAGTGTCAGGCACTTTTTGGAAACGTCACGATATAGTGCTACCCAAGAGAGTCTTTTTAAAGGTGTTTTTTTGTGGTTATCATTTCTGTTTGCTTACAGTTAACACACATATATTGCACAGGAAAATGTATACATATGGGATGCTGCTCATAGCCTAGTAAGCTGGCTCAGGGGCGGATTTGGTGAATTGGGGGCCCCAGGCAAAATATAGGAATGGGGCCCTATACATTTGCACACATTTTCCTAGATCAACCTTGAGGTTCCTTTTTTGTTGTGATACTTGCTGCTGCGCAATGGTGCCCCATAGTTGTGTCCAATGTTTCTACATTTTTCATGTACATGTTATAATGTCTTTCTTTCATGTTGTAGACCACGAAATAGCAACTGATTTACAGTTAAGATACAGGTTTTCACAAAAACAAAATAAATGATAAAATGATAAAGCTCACAATTGAGCGTTTAAACCAGGGGTGAGTCAGAAGTATAAATTATTATATGAATTTAAAACGGGGTCATGTGGCGTATGTGTCCTCTACTTGGTTCCTTCTCATAAATGAGTAAGCAGCATTTAAAACAATTATAAACAAATAATACACACTGTTTCTCAATATTTAATCACAGCTTCAGATGCATAATATTTTCATCTCCTTCAAGCAGGATACTCAAAAAGCATGTTTAACTGGGACGGTTGTCGTGGTAATAAACACCGTAAACAGCAACCGTTCGCGTGTCAGCGCTTAATGCGCATCTCCTATATGAAAAGCTTTTTAGGGGGCCCTTGGCTTTTGGGGGCCCAAGGTGGTCGCCTACCTTTGCCTAATGGGTAAGTCCGCCCCTGAGCTGTCTATGTAGACAGCATTTTGGGATGAGCATGAAATGCTGTCTAGATAGGCAGCTCACTAGATTTGGAGACACAGCTATGGCTCTGTGTGTACAACAGAGAATGACAGCTTGGGTAATTGCCTTGTTTTGAATCTGTGTTCTCTCAAAGACATTTACAAACTAAAACAAATTCATTGAAATCACATTGCATGGTCAATGATGTGGTGTCATTTTCACCCAGGAAATATTAAAGCAGTTTTAGCAGGATGTTTTGAGTGTTAGACTTTCTCTGCATTGATAAATATCATATCAAAACATTTCCGGTGAATTAAAGATTTGTTATCATGATAGATGGGAAAAAAAATCTATTAGGCCTACATTGCAAGCATTTACACCTGAAATGGCCATTTTTATAAGTCTACATTTATTGATTTGTAAATAGCTTGTACCTGTATTGTATAGCTATATTTAAATGAGAGGCCAAACAAGAAACCAACAACCATGACCTAAGGTCAGGGACAGAGGCTTGTGGGAGTGTACGACATATTATGAAGATAGATGCTGATGGTGCTGATTACCTTTCTCACTGAAATATTTCCGAGCGGTAATTGATAGATGTTAATTTGGGCTTTTTGTTTAAAAGCATCTTAACCTTAACCCTTTATCTCTGACCAAACGATTGACAAGATTTTATTGAAGAATGGACACAAGCCATTGGTTTATGCAATATCTAACTTTGTAAAAGATATCTTGATCATTTTGTGGTGATTATGTGGATTGTTCAGACACTGGTTTTATGAAACCATGAAACCAAACACCAAAATGGGCAAGAGTGGTGATTTATTACGTTGTATGTATGTAAGCTTCTATATTGATTTAGTACCGAGAGGATTTTAGTAAAGACATTTGAAGAGATGGAGCTGTCTGTGCACATATTTTTACTGCAAACAAAAGGCAAACATTCTGTTCAAAAGCTTGGGGTCAGCGAGATTTTTAAATGTTTTTAAAGAATTCTCTTATGCACACGAAGACTGTATTTATTTTATTAAAAATACACTAATACAATAATAACATGAAGTATTATTAGAGTTTAAAATAGCTGTTTCTGTTTTAATATATTTTATATATATATATTTCTGTGATGTCAAAGCTGATTTTTATCAGCCGTTACTCTTCAGTGTCACACGATCTTTCAAAAATCATTCTAATATCCTGATTTGGTGCTCAAAAATATTAATTATTATCATCACTGCTGCAAACAGTTTTTGTGGAAACCATGATTGCATCTTACTGAATAAAAGTATCAATTTCTTTAAAGAAAAATCATCCAGACCTCAAACTATGGAATGGTCGCGTATGCTCCATATATATACACTTTAGATGTAGGTTTAGTAGAAAAGTTACCTCCTCTAAGGTGTCCTGTTGATGGAGAATTACTCTAAAGTGAGAACAGACTGTAATGTGAGCAGTACTCGGCTAGCATTGCTCTCCCTCTGCCAGAAACTGGACTCCTATTACACTTGGGCCTAAAAGAGAGAAAGTCTCTAATGCCTTTTGTCTCTTGTGCAGTTTGTGGTTAGTTTGGATCAGACGATTTCCCTCGTTCCCTCTACAACAGGATGTCTTCTTCGGTTCTGTTTTGTACACATTACAGCCGCATTCATCAAATGACAGCACATTTATTTGTTGTTCTGAGGTCACTGCAGGTCACCAGCTTCAGGGCTTTTAAGATTCACATCAAGAACATGCCATTTCACAGCCGTGTATAGTTGGGTCAAAAGGTCAAAAGGGGGTAGAACTGTCTGTTTGTTTGACCAGTAGCAGGGGGAAGTGTTTGGGGAAACCTTTTTTTTTTGTAATATGTAAAGTGTATTCTGGGGTTGTGGTCTTATCTGTATCGGCCAATATGTGATTTGTTAGTGGTACCAGTTAGTGTTACCAAAAGTTGAGGCATCCATCCCATCTTTTGTTAAACACGAATATATATATATATATATATATGGTTTTATTTTGTAGCATGTGCAGAAATCTGGACTTTTAAGGTGAATGTTTTTTTTTTTTTTTGTAATCAGCCTAACAAAATGCAGATTTATATCTAATGGCAGCCAATACAATATTATATTGGTATCAGTCAAAATGTCCATATTGGTTTTCAGTTATAAGTTCAATTATAGCTTTTGAAACTATAGATTTGATTTTTAGTGTGTTTTATTTTTAATTTTAACCAAAATAGTGTACAGTTTTATATATCTGGCATGATTATCAGCCATAACAGTAATCAAAGTAATTATAGGCATTGGCCAAAATTTCCATATAGATGTGTCCATGGTGCATTTAGTGATCAGTTCAGTTATAGCATTTCAAACTATTGATTTTATTTTTAGTATAATTTTATTTTTATTATTTGTTTTTACCAAAAAATATTGAATATAAATTATATACAGTATTTGCCATTTATTGATTATCTTCCATGACATTCAAATAATTATTGGTATCATCAGCCAACATTTCCATATTAGTGCATCCCTGGTGTATTCAGCAATCAATTCATTTATAGCATTCAAAACTATTTTTGTAATTATTTTTTTTTTTAACCAAGATGACAGAATTTTGTATCTACCATTTTTGATTATATGCCATGCCATCAAAATGATTGTTGGTATTGGCCAGAATTTCCATATCGGTGCATCCCTGGTGTATTCAGTGCTCAGGGAACACGGATGCTGGATTGCTGAGACCTTTAGTGAATCAAGAAGTGGCATGTTAACATTTTATGCTCTGCTTAACCATTTGACTGTGAGAGGTGTTGGTTTCTTGGGCTGAATGAACAGGTGAAGTGGAAGGCGGTTTTCTTATCTAACAATGCCACAATAACTGCACTTTGCTTAACAAAGACCCCATGCCTCATTAATGCAAATAACACCCGTGTGTATTGTTGTGCAGGCCTCCAAATTCATTAGTCAGCTCTTGTGTACCTGATCTGTGGAGCCTTCGCGGTTTGATTGAGTTTAAGGCTTACGCTAATAAATCATATGAAGTGCTGATCTCAGAGCATTTGCTCGCTACATGTGCATCTATATAGCAACTAACAACTTAAGTAAAACTAGTAGTTTTGAGTTGATTTTGATTCTGAGCCCTGATCTTCTGGTCTCCCACTGGAAGAAGAAGCCTCGGTGCTCTTTGCTAATTGCTCAAGGAGAGAACATTATTTCCATGGGGATCCTGATGGAAACAATGGAGTCCAATAATTGATTTAAATAAGTGAGCTGATTTAGAGATTGATTTGGGTGTTATTTACATGTAGTTGAGGAAACAATAATTCACACTCTAAAAATAATCTCAAACTCATTCTGGATGTTTAGGCTATTCAGTGAGTCATATGTTTCTTTGGTTCCTAAATTGGCATGATGCTCTCTTAATTTGGAAACTGCTTGATCATTTTTCTTTATTGAGTAATGTGGAGCAGTGGGCTCTCTGAGTCTCTCAGAAGATGCAGATTAATTTAGCAGGTCTCCAGGGGATAAGAATCCTAGCGTGAAAGTGTTTTAGAGACTGCGGTTTACTCTGTAACTCAGCATTTTCACTCATGTGTTGGAGAAAAACAAATACTCACGTTGCCACATTGCTATTTTGTGGATTACATAACAAACAAGGCCTATCCAAGAATTATGTGTGCAACCAAAGGTTGGCCTTATAAATCTTTTAACTAAGAGACATTTAAAAACACTTTTTTTATAAGATAATAAGAGTGATTATTCTAAAGGTCTTTTTTTGTGAAAAGCTACACATTTTAAAAATCAGGCATT